GCTTTGAAAATAAACCTCTGTTCTCTGAGACAATTTACATAATGGCCCTGCCCTCCAGACTCTAGGTATTGGCCACAGTCTCTGGATTTTGAGTGGACGCCCGTCGGCCCTGGGCTTCAGCTCCGCCTTCCAGGCCCACTGGGACAGCAACTCTGCTCCCTTGGCTTTAGGCGCACCATTCTCCTACTCCATCTGAGTGGCGACTCCACCCTTAGAAACACCAGAGGTCATGGCTCCACCCTTTGAAACCCTAGAGGTCATGGCCATACATTTTGAGACTGACTTGGCTTCTTGTGTTCCTTGTCTCTTCAGCTTCAGCTTCTGTTTCCTGTGGCCGCTCAGCCCTCCGGCCTCACGCCCACATCTGCCCTGCTGGGGCAAATGTTCCAAAGCTTGGTAGCTCCACCAGTAAGTGCCCGGAGGCACCCCACTCCCCCAGAAAGCCTCGTGCACACAGGCACTCAGCTCTCTTGCTCTGTGGGTCGGTTCCAGCGCCGTCTCGCACTGGTCTCCTGGTTCTGCTGCTGTTGGTTCTCTGCCGCTGTTGCTTCTCTGCTGCTGCTGGTCCTTTGCAGCTGCCAATACTCTATCCATTCACAGTTTCAAAATCACTTCCACGTTTTAGGTATCTATTAGAGCAGCACCCCACTCTCTTGGTACCAAATTCTGTCTTAGTTATCTAGTGCTGCTACAACGGAAATACCACAAGTGGATGGCTTTAACAAAGAGAAGTTTATTTCCTCACAGTAAAGTAGGCTAAAAGTCCAAATTCAGGGCATCAGCTCCAGGGGAAGGCTTTCTCTCTCTGTTGGTCTTCCTTCTCATTAGTGTTACGCCGGACTAGGAGCTTCTCTGTGCAGGGACCCCAGTCCAAGGGACTCGCCCTGCTCCTGGCACTGCTTTCTTGGTGGTATGAAGTCCCCCTGTCTCTCTGCTCACTTCTGTCTTTTATATCTCAAGAGATCGCCTCAGGACACAATCCAGTCTTGTAGATTGTGTCCTACCTCACTAGCACAACTGCCGCTCACCCTCCCTCATTAACATTGTTACCCGAATAGGGTCTGTGCCCTGGAGCAGTCGAGCCAATGAAACACACCCCAAGTCAGAAAGAGTGAGAAAGCTTTTAATTCAGGAAGTGTACACCACCAGGGACCCCACAGCAACTCAGGCTGTCCTTAGGGAGTCCCAAAAAGCATTTTTACATCAGATCTTATATATGATTTTTACAAAGGTTAGAAGTGTTGTTATTCACTCCAAGATAATTACAAGAGACTATCATAGACTATCATACTAAAGAGACAGGGAACTGGACACTTCCTTATCAGGCTAAAGATGTACGTAGTCTCTGACATCTGGGCTCTAATCTCCCTGTGGGGGATCCTAAAGCAGAGTCATTAGCAAAGGTATGCACAAAACAAAGCCATTAACACAGGTATGCGAAAAGAGAGAAGGCAAAGAAAAAAGAAAAAAACTTATAAATTCATCATGGCGTTAGTTATGTCAAGCCCTCAGTTGCCCAATCTGAAAAGGAGAAAACATGCTGGTGAGTATTAGGGTCACCACATCATAGAGGCAGAATTTACAACATATAGGAAAATCACACAATACTGGGAATTATGGCCCAGCCAAATTGATACACACATTTTTGGGGGGACATAATTCAATCCATAACAGCAGCCAAGTGCATTAACCGTTTACACCCCCCAGGGACTGCAGCTATCCCACTGCTGGGTATGTATCCTACGGAAATGTGTATGCATGTTCATAAAAAGACATATACTAGAATGTTCATAGCAGCACTACTCATAACAGCCCCAAACTGGACACTGCCCAAATGGCCATCAGCAGTAGAATGAATAAATCAACCATGGTGTACTCCCAACGTAAAATACTCTGTAGCAGCGAGAATGAACAATTTATAACTACACACAACGATCCTCACAAAAATAACGTGGAGCAAAAGAAACCAAACACCAACCGACACATACTATACTATACAGTTCCATTTATAGACAGCATTAAAACAAGAGAAAATGAATCTCTACCATTAGAAGTCATATAGTGGTTTCCTTTTAGGGATAATGGCTAACAGGGAATATAAGGTGAGCATCTGAGGTCCTGGTAATATTCTGTTTTTTGATCTTGGTGCTGGCTGCTCAGTTTGTGAAAATTCATTGAGCTGTACATTTACTCGGAGTCCCTAGATGGTGCAAATAGTTAATGTGCGTGGCTGCTAACTGAAAGTTTGGAGGATCAAGTTCACCTACAGGTGCCTTGGAAGACAGGCTTGACAATCTACTTTTGAAAAATCAGCCATTGAAAACCCTGTGGAGCACAGTTTTACTCTGACACACGTGGAGTCACCACGAGTCAGAGTCGACTCTACGGTAATTTGTTCAGGGTTTTCTTTTTTTTTTTGATACATTTACCAATGTGTACTTTTCTGTATGCATATTATACTTTAGTAAGAAGTTCAAAAAATTATAGACTCCAAGAAAGCCTCCTTACCTAGATCCCCATTCCCATTTATGTGCACCAATTTCCAAACTGGTTCTGTATTCTTCTGAGCTAAGTTTTGGGCTTTCACGTGTGGTTATGTCCCCCTGGGAATGCATAAGCATTTTTAGGTTGTTGGGATGAGTGGAGAAGGGGACATGTGGTAAGAGTGCCAGCAATGGCTTCTCTTCACTTCTCCATGCCTCTTCCCGGGAAAGGAGGGTGATTTATTTGACTGGTAAATTTCAGAAAAAGGTCCAGCTCCTCCCACTTTTGTCCCCCAGAGCTGGCCTGACTGCAGAAAGCACATAATCTGCCCAGATCTTTGCCATTCAAAGAAAGGGGCCTGCTCTGTGGGAGGAAACCTGAGGTTTTGTAGGGCTGCCTGTGAACTAGGCAGGAAAGTTTGCCCAATTCAGAATTAGGAAGCTCGCTTGCCCCTGGAGAAGAGCCACATTCTGCAATGCCAGCCTTACTCTTTTTTAATTTATTTTTTGTTGTTGAGAATATACACAACAGAACATATACCAATTCAACAATTTCTACAGACACAATTTAGTGACTGACTACATTTTCCAGTTGTACAACCATTCTCACCCTTCTTTTCTGAACTGTTCCTCCCCATTGACATAAACTCACTGCCCCGTAAGGTTCCTATCTAATCTTTCAAGCTGCTGTTGTCAATTTGATCCCATATAGACAGTTCTTAAAAGAGCACAATGCTCAAGGCAGACATTCTTTACTAATTAAGCTAAATTGTTGTTTGATTTAATGAAGACTTCAGGGGATATTTTTGGCTTAAGGTTTAAAGATTACCTAACACAGGGTACTAGTTTTGAGGGTTCATCCAGCCTCAACGGCTCCAGAAAGTCTGGATTCATGAGAATTTGAAATGGTGTTTGTATTTTCCTTCTCTTGATCCAGATTTTTCTACAGAATCTTTGATCAAAATGTTCAGTAATGGTAGATGGGCAACATCCACTTCTTCTGGTCTCATGGCAAAGGAGGCCATCGTTCATGGAGGCAATTAGCCACACATTCTGTTTCCTTCTCCTGTCAGCTTTACTCGTATGACCTTCATTAAGGTGATATTTTAGTCATCTAACTGCCTTACACATTTGTTTTACTACTCAAGGGGATCAGAATTGGTATGGAAGGGACCTATTATTTATTTGCTAGGTGCCTCAAGTCTTCTTAGTATATGTACTGTTGAAGCAAGCATATCACAAGTCATTTTAGAAAAGCATAGATTTTTTTGGATATAGTGCACACATTCCGAAAGGATGGGCCCTTAACTGACTCCTGGGAGATAACCTCTAAACCCTTAGAATATCCTGCCTGATAAGCATGTATTTCCATACCTGGGGGCTTGGGCCATGCCAGATAGTTTATGCTAACAATATAATTTATGGCGAATGCCTGTTTATGTATGCCCAGTGGCTTTGGGCCACACTATATCGGTTTGACTTCTGTTGGGGCTGGAGACTGAGTTGTCACGGCTACTCACATGACTGAGCCACAATAAAGACCCTGGACACCAAGACTCAGGGGAGCTTTCCTGTTTGGCACATTTACACATGCTGTCACACACTGTTGCTGGGAGAATTAAGTGCTGTCAGTGTGACTCCACTGGGGAGGACAACTGGAAGCTTGCACCTGGTTTTTCCTGGACTCTGCCCTATGTGCCTTTTGCCTTTGCTCATTTCAGTGTGTATCTTTTCATTGTAATAAACTGTAACTATGAGTATAACATCTTTTCTGGGTCCTATGAGTCCTTCTAATGACTCGTTGAATCGGATGGTGGTCTCAGGGACTCCCAGCACAGATAGCTATCAACAAGCCCCAAATATATCATAAAATGAAAAGTATGTTTTTATTCAGCACAATAGCTTTCAGAGGATTATACTTGTAATCTGTCTAATGAAGAGTTGACCTAACCCTGAATGGTAGGCCCAGAACATGGAGCCAGACCTATGACCTTTATCAAAACAAATGAGATGAGGGAAGATTTGGAGAGCAGAGAGAGCCAAACAATGCCCTGCACCCCAAATCCCTGAGACCTTCCCCCTTAAAGAGGGAGAGTTGGAAGACATGACACACGAAAAGTGGGCGTTTCAGTCCCGCTAGTAAAGTAGTGTTGGAGTAATAGTGAAAGTGAACAAGCGGTTCTCAAAATTAAAAAGCAGAAGGATTTGCTCCCACTTACTCATACGTCATTTCTTCATCTTCATTTTGTTTCAAGGGCTTGGCAGTTTTCAATTTCTTGCCTAAGGGAGAAAAAGTATTTCCATTTAGGAAGAGTTAACAACGGTTGTGATTCTACAGTTCAGAAATCCTCAAAGGCCAGCAGGTCTAAGACGTTTGGAAAGAACCACCAAGAGGAGATAGACTTAAAGACACAGAGCCAGTGAGTGGTAGAGCCAGAATTTGAACTCAGGCCATCTGACCTCAGAGCCTGTGTGCTAACCCAGTGATGATAGTAACCATGTGGGCTGTATTTACTTCCTAGTACTATGCCTGGCACTTAGGTGGCACTCAGGAACATAGGTGTAGTTGGGAGGAAATAAGATAAAGAATGGGAAAAACAGTTTGTCAACTGTGATGCACTGGACATAGAAGTTATTATTAATGATAACCTGCTTGTTAACAGGAGTAGCTCAAGACAAGAGGTAAAGTTTTTGTTTACAGTCATATTTTTGTCCATATCTAAGAATGAAAAGTTTTAAGAAGGAAAATGGATACAGGACTACAGATGAACAGAATACACTTTTTGTTTTAAAGAGAAATATTAGTTACCATCAAGGAGTAGAGAGAAAAGAGCATTGAACTGGGAGCCCAGAAGACCTGAGTTCTGGTCCCAGCGCTGCCACCAACACCTATGGACTTCAGCCAAGGCTCTATCTCACTTCAAACCTTAATTTTCTTATCTCAAAAAAGAGATTGAGAAGAATGGTTACATGAGAATCAATTTCCTTTCACCTCTTGTGCAGTGCTGACCTTTTAGCACCAGGTTGAGCAGGATTCTGCGGCTGTGTCTTAGTAATCTAGTGCTGCTATAACAGAAATACCACAAGTGGATAGCTTTAACAAAGCGAAATGTATTTTCTCACAGTTCTAGCAGGCTAGAAGTCCAAATTTAGGATGTCACCTCCAGGGGAAGGCTTTCTCTCTCTGTTGGCTCTGGAGGAAGGTCCTTGTCATCAATCTTCCCCTGGACTAGGAGCTTCTCTGTGCAGGAACCCCGGGTCCAAAGGACGTGCTCTGCTCCCAGCACTGCTTTCTTGGTGGTTTGAGGTCCCCAACTCTCTGCTTGCTTCCCTTTCCTTTTATCTCTTGTGAGATAAAAGATGGGGCAGGCCACACCCCAGGGAAACTCCATTTTCATTGGATCAGGGATATGACCTGAGCAAGGGTTTTACATCCCATCCTAATCCTCTTTAACCACAAACAGAGATTATGATTTATAACACATAAGAAAATCACTAAAATAAAGGACAACTGCATAATACAGGGAATCATGGCCTAACCAAGTTGACACATATTTTTGAGGGACACAATTCAATCCATGACAGGCTGTATCTGGATGCAATGGGAGGACAGAGCCTTGATCATTGAGGGATGCCTGTCCAAGGAACCCCAGGGGAAGGGGGTTCTACACCTCAGTGTATTTACCATCCCCAAGTGTACTCTTGACTTAGGTCATTATTTAAAGGGATAGGATCTAAAGCAAAAACATCATTGAATTAAGGGTTTCGTGTTTCTGGAGATGAGCAGCAAGGTGGAAAACCCACTTGAAGACAATCCAAAATTAATGTTAATCCCTAAGTAGCTACCTATTTATGTCAAGGGTGGCAAAAATCTTTGGTCAAGATGTGGATAATACCAGAAAATTCAGAGTATGACCTTACAGGAGGCAATCATGGTGGCCAAACAACATGTAGATCATGGATCGAGTCTATATTTTACTTGTCAAGACAGTGTTTTGACATTCTACAGACTTGTGCTCTTCCAACTCCCTGAGAGAAGATGCTGTGATCAGCAGCCACATGAGAGATAGAAAGCATTTGAGCATATTGTGCTTTTAAATAGATTCTGCTTTCACCCAACCTCTTAGGGCTAGAAGAGTGTTTGAAAATTAATTAACCCCTCTGCCTTCCCTACACAGTTGGGGAAATTGAAGCCCAAGGACATGAGTTAGTGGCAGAGGTAGGACTCAAACACAGAATAACAACAACAACAAAAAAACCAAACCCACTGCCATCCAGTCGATTCCGAATCATACTGACCCTATAGGACAGAGTAGAACTGTTGCTCCAGGGTTTTCAAGGAGCAGCTGATGGATTTGAACTGGCGACCTCTTTGTTAGCAACTGTAGCTCTTAACTACTAATCCAAGGTTCAGTCCATACAGGCCAAGGATGAATCTTCTTGCCCTAAAAGAGTCCTAATGCACTGATAACCACCCCTTGCTTCCCTCTACCCACACAGGTGAGATGGCCATTACCTTGTCTAAACAGCCTTCTACAGACACAGTACAGGATGAGGCCCAGGCTCACGGAGGTAACGATGATGGCGCCAGCTAAGAAGATCCAGAATTTGTCCTTCCACCAAGGCATAGCAGGGGTATCCTAATATAGAGGAGGAATGGAGACAGAAGAATGAGGCATGAATGAGGGGCATCTTAGAGTGGTGGTGCTGTGGTGGTGGTGAGGTTATCTACCATATTGTGTAGTAATACAGGCATCTGCTTAGGAATCAAACTGGCACTAGTTTACATTTAAACCGTACCAATTAGTAGCCAGGACACCTCAGGCAAGTCACTTAACCTTCTCTGAGCATCAGTTTCCTCATATGTAACATGGGAGTGACACGGAGTCCCTGAGTGGTGGAAACTTAATGTGTTTGGCTGCTAACCAAAAGGTTGGAGGTTCAAGTCCACCCAGAAGCACCTTGGAAGAAAGGCTTTATGATTTACTTTTTAAAAATCAGCCATTGAAAACCCTATGGAGCACAGTTCTACTCTGATACACTTGGGGTTGCCATGAGCCAGGATCAAACTGATGGCAACTGGTGGTGGTGATGGTGGTAGGCACTTTAGAAATTGTAGCATAATCACTGCTTTCTCTTATATTGCCAAACATGCAGCTGGTGGGAGAATGTGCAATTTAAAACAAATAATTGACTGCAGTTGTTTTTATATAATAAGGGCAATATAGACTGAATTCATAAGAGGACAGATAGAATTTTGAGGGCCTTTGTTTGGGAGGGGGGTTAGAAAAATACTTTGATAGACCTCTTTGAGCGAGGCATGATCAGAAGGGGGAAGGTAAAGACACAGAGCAAGATGAGTTGGTTTGTATGATAAAAGTCACAAGCATTTGGGGTTGAAGGCTGGTAGGCTAGAGGAGGAGAGTCTTAGAAGAGGGCGGCAGCAGCGGGAGAGGTCAAGAAGATAGCATCAAATCTGAGCATCCTTAAAAATTCCCCAGAGTGGAAAGTGACCAATGGATTTTTCTAATATTCAGTTTTAAGTTGTTGCCTGTATTATGTTATGTTGCAGTCTTCCTCTGTTACCATCCACCTTCAATAAAACCGCACAACAGACAGGCTTGTATGAGCAGATCCTGGGGGGAAATGACATGGGTGCAGTGGTTTTCCCTGCCAGGGGTAACATATGGTAAGTAGAAAGAAGAGCAGCTGCCAATCTCCCAGTGATAGTGAGGAGAAGGCTGTAGGATGGACGAACAGGAGTAGCCTCAGGAATTCCAGGAGATCTTGGAGAGGGGCTGAACTCTCCTTGTCTGTGGAATGAGCACCATTTCTAGTTCATTTGGAAATTAAAATAAAAGTAATCCTAAGGCTTGGGACACATCCTGGCATTCTGGTTACATGAGAATCAACCTCCACCCATGTATGTTGTTGTGGTACCATTTCAGACTGATGCTTTTGAGTAGTATTCATGACGTAAACAGGGGCTAGGAAGGTGGCAGAGGAACAGGGGCAAAAGTAGGCTGATGCTGAAGACATTATTACTACAAAGAACTTTTAACATTTAAAAATCGGTCAGTTACTGGGAATAACCCACCCCCAAGGCATGCGGACAGATTTTTTTTTGCAGATTATCTTTTCAGATGCACAAAAGAAAGCAAAGGAGGAAGAAGAACATAGACAAAATAAAAAAATGGATAGTGGAAACTTGGCTCTCAATAGGGGCCCATGAATTTTGGTTTAGCAGGGCCCAGTGAAGTCAAAAGAGTACTAGTCTTAAAAAGAGGCCACAGATCAGAAGGAGACTCTTAGTTCAATAAACTTAAGTTGGGATCTCACATCTTACCTTCTTTAGCTGTTGGAGACCAGCTGGATGGATGGATGGGTGGATGGAGGGGTAGAGGGATGGAGGGGTGGAGAGATGGAGGGAGGGGTGGAAGGGGGAAGAGAAGGAGGGAAGGATAGATAGATGATAGATAGATGATAGATACATAGATGATAGATAGGTGTCAGGTAGATGACAGTATGTTCTCTCCATTTTCTCAATTCTCTTTGCTCTTCAAATGTTGGACTCTTGGTTCTTGGTCTATCTTTCCTCTCATATTTTCTTTCTGTCTGTTTGCTTTACTCTTGAAAATTTTCCCCAAAAAGCAACATAAATTTACTCTTTAGAGCTATAGAAGTTGTTATGGATTGAATTGTGTCTGCCCAAAATATCTGTCAACTTGGCTGGGCCATGATTCCCAGTATTGTGTGAATTGTCCACCATTTTGTCATCTGATGTGATTTTCCTATGTGTGGTAAATCCTATCTCCATTATGTTGATGAGCTGGGATTAGTGGCAGTTATGTTAATGAAGCAGAACTCAATCTACAAGATTGGATTGTGTTTTAAGCCAATCTCTTTTGAGATGTAAAAGAGAGAAGTGAGCAGAGAGACAGGGGGACCTCAAATCACCAAGAAAGTAGTGCCAGGAGCACAGCGCATCCTTTGGACCCAGGGTCCCTGTGCAGAGAAGCTCCTAGACCAAGGGAAGATTGATGATAAGGACCTTGCTCCAGAACTGACAGAGAAAGAAAGCCTTCCCCTGGAGCTGGTGCCCTGAATTTGGACTTCTAGCCTACTACAGCATGAGAAAATAAACGTCTGTTTGTTAAAGCCATTCACTTGTGGTATTTCTGTTATAGCAGCACTAGATAACTAAGATAGAAGTAAATACAGGATACAAGAGTTAAAAGCTGTTGCAACTTAGGAACATGACTAGGTGGAAGGAAGGGAGTGGGAAGACAGGGGACTGTAGTGTTTCATTACAAATCTTCTGAATTACTTGATTTTTGAACTATTTGTATTTACTTCGATAAAATTAAAAAGAGTCAATCAGCTGTACAGTATAGTTTCCATGAAAAGCCATTGCTCAGTTTCAAGTTAAAGGAATTTCATTCTAATCAGGTTCGTGGGAAAGAAAGAGGAAGTGTAATGTTGTCAGAAAGGAAACTATGGGTCACTTTTCAGAACTACTCAGTGTGATAAGTTTTTTGTAGTTTTGTTCTGTAAAAATGACATAGGGGCAGTGTTTGACCTCCTCCAAACCCACAAGGGGGAAAGAGAAGCAAGAGCAACAGCGAAAGGCTGACTTCATGCGGTGGAGACCATACAAGCCTACTCTCTCTGCCATCTTTACTAATTCTGACACCAACCATCCCTCACATAGCACTGTCTACTTCTCTGCTGGGTTCGATAATTCATTGCAATGGCCACACAGAACTCATAGACCATACTCACGATTATGGGATTTATTAGGGAAGTAACAGGTTACAGTTCAGGCTCAGAAACGCTCAGGATACAGTTCTTCCTTCAGGATAGCCTCTTCCCAGCCTTGCTCGCAAGCACGCCTCTCCCTGGCCCTAGGCCTCTCCCCAAAGGCACTCAGCTTTCTGTCTCCGTGGGCTGGGAAGCCCACCACACCGTTTCCTGCTGCCAGGTCTCTGCTGCCGGGTCCCTCCTGCCACCGCTTCTCACTGTCTTCATGGTTACAGCTTGCTTGCTCTCTCTTGGTCTCCTACTTCCAGGAGCTTCTCAGCGCAGGGATCCCGAGTCTAAAGGATGCACTCTCTGCTCCTGGATGTTCTTCCTTGGTGGTGGTAGGATCCTCTTCTCCGCTCTGAAATTGGCTCTCTTTTAAGGCAAAACTGACCAATCCCCTTGCTAGGCCACAACTACCCTCTCACACAGTCCCACCCACTCACCTGGGTAGGAGTTACAAGACCATGGCGAGACAGGCCACACACAAAAGTAATTAATCGCACCACATATTCTTACACATTAAACGGATTTGATTTGCCATTTAATGTTTTGAGTGTTTTGGTGCACCAAGCACCAAACGTTTTCCCATCTCTTACCTTATTTCATCCTCCCTACCACCCTGTTTCAAAAGACGGGAAACCAAGTCTGAGGTGAAATGACCTGCCCAAGGCCACCCAGGTAGGAAAGAGAGCCAGGATGCTTTCTCTCTTTGTCACAGTTCCTTCTTCTGTTGATGTTAGTAATGATGCCTGTAGGTCATCAAAGAAAGGCCATTGGAGTACAGGATATCTTCGTTTAGTAGGAGTATTGCTATGGTAGTGATACGGTGGTATGAGGGGTCAAGGGGAATTCTCCAGAATGAATGATCAAGGCCCAGATTTGAAAATAAAATTCCCCACATTCTAAGACCAGAGAAACACGACTGTGGGTCACCTCCTTCCCTGTAAACTGCTGTGAGATGCCTTTTCAATACAACCAAGAAGAGCTTATCTTTGGGAAGAGTGTAGCTGAGGGAGGGAGACCCAAGAATCATGTCTCATTTCCACTTAGATGTCCACTGGGCCACCAGGCTATTTTAATGGCCAGGGTGCTACCAGAGAGGGGAGAGGAGCTCTGGAGAGAAATGGCGGGGAGTATGGCCAATGGGGAGCGTGCAGTGGCTGCCTTCTCAAGCTCAGGCCTAGGAAAGGTACAGAAGCCTGGAGTTGGGGCCACAGAGGATAGCTAAATTGGGCGGCCCAGGCCTGTTGAGGACTACTGCGTCATGGGGCAAAAAAGTGCTTGCACAAGAGGATGCCAGTCAGTCCAAAGGTGCAGTTGAGTCTGTCCAAGGGACCACCGATGCCCAAGGGGTTCAGTCCCTCATCAGTGAGCCAGTTGGAGCCCCCATCCCATCCTCAAAAATTAGATCAGCAGTAATAGCCCATTAATGGGAGACTGCCCATGCAAATTGTTTGTCCTTCTTTCCTCTTCATCCCAACACCAGAGAAGTAAGTACAGGGAAGAGTTTGCTGAAAGAGCTGAGCAGGCTCTACCCTTCTCTTTACTCCCCTTGCTGGGGAAAAGAGGAGAGCTTTGAATCAAATATAAGATTGAAGTTTTAAAATGAACATGACTAAATTTTAAAACACTGAAATGAATCTGCTTAATAAACAAAAGTAACTTGAAAGTGTTGAAACTGGACTGAAATGTCCACTTCCCAGAGGGACAGAGGGGAGCCCAGGCAGCAGCAGATATTGCAAACAAATTGTACTACTTTCCTGTAGCTGCTGTAACAAATTACCATAAATTTAGTGGCTTAAAACAGCACAAATTTATTATCTTATAGTTTTAGAGG